CAAGGGCCCCCTTCCATACAATGCTTTATCACAACATTATCTCTGGGCAACTTGGCTTCATATAGCATTGGATTTAACTGGCAAGACAGCTTGTACTGGTTTAATTGCTATGATCAATTACAAAAGCAAAAAAATAAAAAAATAAAAAAGCCCCTGAGTGTCAAATTTGAGACATTTTATTCATCCAGGACCAAACCTAACATGTTATTGTTACTATTCTGAATTAAACTTTTGTGTGTTGTTAATACAAATTTACAATGAAAATAAAACAAAAGAGTATGCATCTATCATAGATGAGTGTAGGTGATAACAATAATAACGATACAGAAGGACGGTATTGTCTGTCCTCCACTTCAAATATTGATTGAAAACGAAGGGTAAAAGCAAGTGCTATGTATTGCTCTCATGGACTGCAAGTTTCCTCGGATTCAGGTACAAGCAAGCATGTATCCATCCATCACAGACGAGCATGGCTATGTTATTCGGATTTAGGGGTACGTGTCGAATTTGGGTATGTATGGAGGTGCATTCTTTTTTTAAAAAGTTTTTTCATATATTTAAAGGATAGATCGACCTCATATCCATGTCTATTGGATATTAGATACGTGTGGAACACGGATATACTTAAAAAAATTAAGAGTTGAAGTAATAGATCAGTGTGGTTTATGACAAGGAGTTTAGACAAATAGTGTCACAGACATTTCATAAGGACTGGGGATAATGTGGGTGATAAATAACAATAATAACGACTGAGAAGAAGGGACAACATTGTCTGTCTTCCACTTAAATATTGATTGAAAACAAAGGGTAAAAGCAAGTGCTATGGAATTGCTCTCATGGACTGCAATTTTCATCTCTCTAGATTCATGTCTGATTGGAAACCCTATAATGTCTATCATGTCTTTTTCAATTACCAGGGCTGTGGTTGTTCAATGACTCTCATACACTACCTTTTTTTTAATCTTGGTCCCAGGAAAAATTAATAAAGACCATCTGTCGGTACTTCTACATTGTCCGCATACTTACTTTTCAAGGTCTTTTTAACAAGCCATGGGAGAGAGTAATTCATCAGAACATGGGGCACTATACAAATCTTGTCCTCTTCGTTGCCCCATTTGACAACCTTGACATCCATATGTTGTCTGTTTAATTTCGTTGCCATGAAAACGGTCATTTGATGACTTATAAACCATATATATGGTCCCTTTGATTCGTAGTCTAGAGTTCGAAATCATTGAGAAGTTTACTAGTTATTTTCACAAAAAAAAAAAAAAATCCTGTTCTACTCTCAATAAAAACATAGGAAATCCTTCAATAATATGAAGTCTAATGTTGGAATCTTATATATATATATATATATATGTATACATATATGTTTAACACTTAAGACATCTTCTAAGACTTTGAGTTTGACAGTATGAGAGCTAAGAAATGAAGGGCAGAGTAATTTTTTCTTTGTTTCCATATGTGTTGGTCAAACTGAAAGTTGTCATTATTTTTTTCTTTCTTCTAATAGTTTCTGAATGAATTTGTGCCATTCATGACAAATTTGAAGAAAGAATCTAATGGTGTACTTCAAGAGAAAAAAAAAAAAAAACAGAAAGAAAATGCTTCCCATGTATATGGTTTTGGTAAAAGGGAAGTTTAAACAAGTGAAAATCAGGATTCTCCCTGAATTAATGCAAGGAATCTTGTTTGTCTTAACTACATGGCAATTCAAGATTGTTTCCAAAACATGACAGCTCTAAATCTAACAGCAGATCCCTTTGTGTGAAACTAGCTCTTTTTTCTTTTCTTCCTTTCAATTTCCTACTGTAATTTTTTGGTGTGTGTGTGTTTGGAATTATTTTTGCTTTTGTTCACACAGCCCTGAGAAATCCATAATATATGCAACTGCATAGGACAATGCAATATGCTGAGCATGTGATCACAATCAGATTCCAGCTTATCTGCAAGTTAGAGACAAAGTTAAAGTTGCATAATAATATGTACTAGTAATTAGATATATATCACTGCAGACAGCTTATTATATTCAAAGAATAAAGTCTTCGTTTTACTTTCTAGATATCAAATTAGCTGCCCTCATCAAAATTTTTTTGGCATAAAAAGATGGTAACGTGAAGATACGAGAAGGGATTGCAGGTGCTGATATTTAAATTTTAAACCTGTCGGATATGCCACCTCATAAGGGGTTGATTGCAACTTGGCTAAACCTCGGATTTTACCCTCATCAAACTTTGATATGCCTTAAACCATAAGAAAAGAAAAACAAAGTTACTTAAATATATTTCCCATTTATAATTTCTTTGCTTCTTTTATATTTTCTTGTCTTTGTGTGTCAGGATTTGCATTCAGAGTACAGATGTGTACACTGCAAGGCTAAAGGCATGAAAGATCACTTTCTTTGATGCCAATTTTGATGCCTATCAATCAGAGTCTCTTGGATCTCAAGGAAATTTTTAAACTGAATTCCAAGAATCAGTTGTATTGTAATGCAGGAGTTAGTTTACAAGGCAGATGTTTGCTTGTATTATAAGTTTAGCAGATTGCAAGGAAAGCAGCTGCAAGAATTTCAAAGGCAAAAGAGGGAATTCCTCCATTCATGAACTTGGAATTCTATTCCCGGATTTATAAAGGAATTACAGGACCAGATAAAGCCTAATTATTGGAGTAAAGAAAATTATCTAACAAATTAATCCCGATTCTCTCCAACCTACTTTTCAAAAGAGAAACAGGTTGTGCTTAAAACTCAACCAATGTGACTGTGGACTTTAATGGATATATATTGTTTTTTTCAAGGCATTCTTGACAATAATTGAGTTCTACCTCCCAATTTCTTTACTCTGCTCCATCCATGATAAAAGGAAAAACCACCAAAAGATTTTTGATTAGTCAAGCTAGCCCTGATACCACTTGAAAAAAGGCTTTCTGAACATGCAGAAAAGACATGTATATAATCCACGGGATTTTTGTCACCAAAATTGACCCAATGAAATGGAAATATTGGTGATGTGCTGTTACCATTCATTTAACAAGCTGCTAGATCTTTCTTTCAGTTATTATATGTGATTTTCTCAAATCTTATTACATTCTTTCATCTATATATCAAAGCATGGACTTCAGATTTCGTTGAATTGTTGGAATAGATATTACAGGTATATCATCTGTGGTTATGGAAACAAACTATATACTTTATAGCAATCAAATTGGCCAATGCGCATATATATATATATATATATATCACTACCTTTATGGGACCACTGGCAATGTTTCAGCATCTTCAGTAGTAGTTGCCATGGGACCAAACCCAATAGTGCATGCAATGACTTCAACTTGAAGCAGCAAAACACCGTCATATAAATCTGAAAATTTAAATAAATTTTAACAGAAAACAAGATTTTTAACCCAAGAGTAAATTCACCAATGTTTCCAATTAGCAAGCTACAGTACTGACAAATAATTTCTTCTCCTATATATATATATATCCTTTTGAAATAGGTAGTATGTTTTTAAGGGATTTGCCTCCAAAATGCAATAATTAAAACCCATTATAGTGGTGGTTGATGTCTATAATGAAGACATTGTGCATCTCAGCAACACATGGACTGTTATAACTTGGATGATATGATTATGCTTCAAATTTGAACCATATAGCTCAGTTGGGTTTCCATTTCATTATTATTGGACAGGTTTAATCCTTGTTTTGGCATTAAGCAATACAAGAAGTTTCATTCTAAAAAAAGGAAAGAAAGAAAGAAGGAGAAAAACTGCACAATTGATACAAGAAAATGTTGGATGGAGTTTGAAACCATGCAGAAAAATTAATACAAAATGCCAAAATAAGCAGAAAGTTTAGAGTTTCCAACACAGAAACAATTGCTCATCTTTTGATTAACTTTGTATTCTTAGAACATTGTCGATTCATATTTTTGGCATTAAGCAAACAACAAGTTCTTGATTTGTCCTATATTTCCTAAACTAACCACAACAACAACAAAATTGAATTCATTGAATTCAAAGAATGCTATAACAGTCACCAATTTGAAGAGTGATGAGCTAAGGGGTAACGTAAAAAACTAGTTGGAAAAAAATCCTAACATTGAACTATACAATGATTCATCAAAATGTATCTTCATAGCTTTCACTGATTTCAGCAGTAATGCTTAAAAATCTAAGGAGATTTAAGTCAGGAATTAACTGTTGATAAGGACCTCAATACTGCCTATGAAACAACCATAAGAAACATGAAATTCATGAGTTTTCAACAACATTAACAAGTTCTCTAACATGTTTTCCCTTCCTAACTTAATCAATTATGGGTAAATTGATCACTGACCACTTTTATAGCATGTACAAATGGAGGCAGATGAAACTTTTGATGCTTTTTTTCGATGAAAACGATTGCTAAAACCTAAAGATGATAATTTATGTTTTTTTTTTTAATAAAAGCGATCATAGTTTGAAAATAAAATTATAAATACTAAAATTTAAATCTTATATCTGTTAATGTCTCGTATCAGAAGCTAAATCCTGTTTTAAAATGTCTAAGATGATGCTTTAAACATAATGCATTTGCATTTTATATCGCAATGGACAAGCTGTGTAGCAGGTAATTGCATTCTTCCAATTACCATGCAGAACAATAAACATGAACATATTTAACAACATGACTCCCGATATATTGATTAAGGGCAAAGGATATTTATCAAATAAAAGAATTTATATTATGAATTAAATTTCCAAAAATTAAACAAAAAAGAAAGAGACAGAGAAAAACAATGCCACCACCCACGTGGCTATGTACATTACCTCCGAGAGGGGGAACCAAGTAAAAAGAAAAGATAAAAAAGATTAAATCTACGGGTCTTGGATGAACAAACATAGTATCAGACCCAAAAAAAAAAAAAAACTGAGAAAAATGTAGAATTTATTATTATAATCAAAGGTTATTTTGATTTTCTTTTCTTATATATTTTTTTAAACCATTTTTTGTTTTTGACTTTTTTTTTTTTTTTTAATTCAAGAAAGAAAAACCTCAACGCTTGAATTCCTGACGGTGAGGCAAAGAGGGCAGGCTTGCGCCACTCGATCACACTCCGTACACAAGCAAAGATGCCGACACGGCAGAAGCACCACCGATGAGACACGTGTCCTACACGCCTTGCAAGCCGGTCCCAAAGCGATCACCCGCTCCGGGTCCACGTAAGCCGACTCGGCGTCTTCAGCCTGGCCCTCCACTCCCCCTGGGCACTTTAGCCCCTTCTCCCCTCTCCTGCTATCCTGCGTCACGGCAGCGCCTCCGCTCATTATAGCCTGTTGGAGCTGCGCTTGTAATGAAGCCGCCGTTGCCTCCTGTGCCCTGGCTTTCGCCTGCCAAACCTGCGCCTCCACGCTAAGTTGCGCTGCGCGTGCCTCCAACTCCGCGTTTCGACGCGTTGCTTTCTCCACTTCCGCTTCTTTCTCTCTTAACCTCCTCGCCACCGATTCCTCCGCTGCCCCCAGTAGTGCACGGTAGTGCCTATGCCTTTTCTCTGCTAACGTACGCCGTAATTCCTCCCCCTATAATAAATAATAAACGAATCCAAAAAAAAATTTTACTTTTTCCAAACAAAAAATTAACCAAAACCCAATTTATAAAAGAGAAAACTGGTACCTGGGCTTGAAGAAATTGGTCTAATTCTTCTCTCTGGCGTTTGATTTGGGTACCCAAATCATCAGATACTATCGACAAAAAAGCAGAGGAGTTGGAAACAAGATTCTGCTGTTGGAGGTGGTGGTGTTGTTGATGTTGATAACTTTGATTTTGATTTTGCGGTAAGTTTTGTTGTTGGTCGCCAAAAGATAAGCGGAGGCCGGTGGAGACTACATTTGGTTGGTGGAGTTGAGAAAGGTCTATCAGCTGTGGCGGTTGCGTTTGCAAAGAAAATGAATTGATTGGTGCTGTTATTGCTGCCTCTGCTGCAACTTCTTTTCCTCTTTTCCTTGGATTATTATTATTATTGTTATTATTGGTATAGTTGCTTCCATTGTTGAAGAACATTTGGGATTGATCAAGAAAAACTCCTCCTGCTTGTTGCTGCAATGAAAACTCATGCCCCTCTTGTCCACTTCTGAAAATATAATGCCAAAAGGCAGAAAAAAGAAGAAAAAAAACTATGATAAGAAATGATAAACAGGCAGAGAAAGAGAGAGATAGGGAGAGGCAAAGACGAACCTGTTTAAAAGGAGGACATTTGAAGGGTATTGAGCTTGAACGGCCATTAATACAGCAATGTGAAGGGAAAGCAATGAACTTTGAAGAAGACAAAGAGAAAAGAAGATAAGGGAATGAATCAAGCAATCAAGAATGAATTATAAGTTCAAGAACAAGCTGGTAGAGCACATCCCAAATCACCCATCTTCTCATTTCCTTGTTTCTTTTTTTTGCCCCTTAGGTTTTGGTTTTTCACCCACTTTTTGCCTTTGCCTTTGCCTTGCTTGATATGCTTCTTTTTTTGCTTCGTTTGTTTCCTCTGTTTGATATATAGGTAGAACAGGAAAGGGAGAGAGAGAGAGAGAGAGAGAGATGCGATTGGAAAGAATCAGTCCAAGAGAGAGACAGCTTATTCTGCTCCTTCTTTCTTACTTTTGTATTTGTTGGTTTTGCTTCCTCTTCTTCTTCGCGTGGGGTTGGCTTTTCTTCAGGCGGAGTCTCGTGTTCCAATTAATACCTCTCCCCTCCGTCTGCCTCATATCTTTTCCCTTATTCTAATTTTCCTTAATTAATTATTAAAATATTTTTTAATTAAAACACTTAAAATTTCCATAAATAAAATAATATATATTTTTAAATGGCGTTGGTAAAACGAAATATATAGTGGTAAGTTGAAAGGTTGGTGTTATAGTGCGTGCAGTGCAGGTCTCTGCCGGTACCGCTGCCGCTGGGATTGTTAACATGGCCCATGCATCTTTCGACAGCTTTCTTTTTCTTTTTATTAATTTCCTATTTTTATATTGGAAAATCCCACACTCTCTGATTTTCCATAATTATGTTCCCAATCCCACCCATTTTCCTCATAATTTCTTCATATTTATGAAATTTTTTTCTTTTGAAATTTATTTATTACGTGGTTTTGAAGGTTCAACATAAGTCGGTTTGTTTGTTTGTTTGTTTGTTTTTTTTCCATTCCTTGATTATCTAAGAAAATAGAGAAGAAATATACATAAAAATGGATGATAAGTAATCTAATTGCTTTGGTGGGTGTTGGTTGATTTTTCTTGATAAAAAGGTTGGCATTAGATCAAGATCGAGTCTATATCAAATGGCTAAGGTCGTACTCTTCCCAAACCCTTCCTTCGGTGATATAACAATTTGAAGATAAAAAATAAAAAATACTTTTCAACTCTTGAAATATACGTTATCCTTTTTACTATCATACATTTTAATCATTAATTACAAAAAAGAAGATTAATGTTACAAAAATTTTCAATTCATTAGTGGGAATCACCAATCAATTCAATCAAAGGTTTCATTAAAGTCCCTTGAAAACAAGTTTTCATTAAAGAAAACTAATTTCCCATTTTAAGAAGAGGAGTGACACCATCCTCATATAAATGTTGCCTAGATTTATCTTAAACTACAAAATTTTGTTGTATAACTTTTCTCAATTACTACTTGTTGACTTTCATATATTCCCTGCATGGATAGATCAACCAACCCTTTGCTAATTAACTAGAGCTAATAAATTTTAAGTCTAACTAGATCAAGTGGAGGCTTAATGCATATGATTAATGGCATGGACACAGATGCTTAGTGCATATGGCAATAACGAGTCCAATATAGGTTTAGGTAAAAAATTTTAATCAAAGTAGTAATGTTCTTATCTTTATTTTTTATTTTCATTTTTTGTCAAGAGATGGATTTCAGCTTGTAAAATTTTTCCCAATTTCCTAAAGTTTTGACATCTTTTGTATAAAAAATAATGAAGGATTTTAATATATTTTTATTCAATAATCTCTTTTTATGATGCAAATTATGTTAGTTAAGTGTATAGGAAATGTAAAATCATAAAAAAAAAAAAGAATTTAATTAAATCTCACAACAAAAGTTACCATGGAATTGGTGATCTTCCACAAAACCAAGAAGGGTTTTTAACTTTAATAAATAAAGGTGATAAGGAAAGGGAAGAAGACCCCCCCCAAAAAAAAAAGAAAAGAGAGAAAGGTTTTGCAGAGATGTGAAAGAGAATGCTTGGAATGGAATCAGTCACACATTAATTGTCTTTGGCATTGGTCCCACTAGGAAGGGTCGGCTCTTTCCCTCACGATTCCCATCCTATAGCAATTGAAATCATAATCAAAACTCTCCTCTCATAGTCATACAAAGCTGCACGGCATTTGCATATTATTCACTCTCTCACACCCAACTCATTACTCATTGTTTTCTTCTCCCTTTCTCTAACACACCACCCTTTCCCTTCCATCCTCTTCTCCTTTGTTTTTTTCTTTGTTTATTACTGCTTTGAAATTAATGCAAAAGGGCATCAACCCTGTCTTTTTTTACTTGGTCATTTGCTTATTCATGAAACTGGGTGTTTTATATATATATATATATATATATATATATATAGAATCGTACCCATAATTTTTTTTTTAATGTTTTGAGAAAATTAGTGATTTAGATGAAATGGGTCTTTCGAGATTATTGAAGACTTAATTGAAGTTGACTGGTTCGATTTTGATGGAATTGTATGAAACCAATGTTTCATGAAATCAAAATGTTACACCAGCAGGCCAAATTGCTTGACCTTACACCTAGCTAGTTTTATTAATTTGTAGTAGGTTAAAATTAAATTTAAAATCGATATTTAATTTAATTATTTCATGTAATCGCTTTTAATACTTACAATCTTCCTACGTTATTTCTTTGAAAAAAATTAAATTTAATCAAAAACCTTAATTTTTTTTAACAAATAAACATCTTGGATAATTACTTCGTAATGATCTAATAATTTTCATACAAATTTAGGTAAATTATGTAGAATCATCGATAGTTACATCAAATTGAGGTTATCATTGAGTGGACAACAACAATTAACTAACGTATCTTCTAGTCTTTTGTTAATGTAGATTACTACTAAATTAAGGTTTGAAATTTGAGTAAAAATTCTAGATTGATGTGAAGATTGAACATTGGTTTGATAAGAACAATAATAAAATATTTTGAGTCAATACAAAACAGGGAAAAAAAACAGCCAGGCTAGTCAACACGGTTGGGGGATGATCAAATTGCAATGGTTTAACAAACACAAAGCTATTTTTTCCAACATGCTTTTTTTGAATTCTCTGTTAGCTTTGTCTCCTTGAAGCTTTTACATGGGGGGGTTGGGCCATGAAACAAGGTCACGAAATTCGGTAAATTGTATAGAGAAGTTAACCACAAAAATGTAATGAGAGAGGAAGCTTCATTAATCGCCATCTCTTTATTGTTCCGACCAAAAAAAATTTTGTATTCCTTTTTTTTTTGGTTTTATTTTCAATGATGATTGAGACTAATCTAGGCAGAAGTTTTCACTTTCAATATAAATATTGATTTTATAATCTAAATTTGGTAGCTTTGTTATGCAAATTTGGAAGATTTTTTGGGTATTTTTATGAAAAAGTTCTTTTGGTTAAAATGTTTGAGTAAAATCTTATCTAAATAAAAAAAAAAAAAGAGATTTAATTCTACCTCTTGTTAATAAAAAAAAGGATTTCGTTAATCAGTATTTGAAGGGGTATTATGTGTTTAAATTCTTTCAAATTCGTAATTTTCAGAATTATAATCAATATGTATACTATTTGAGTTAATACTTAATTGATTTTTATTAATAATTTTTAATGAGCTGTGTGAATATATTATTTTATATGATAACTTTTAAGAATACCCTTAGGAAAATCTTTAAAAAAAATAATGGCATAATGAATTATTGATGTTTGACAAAGAGAAATTTGAGATTAAAGTCTTGAAATAGTGTTGTTTACCATCTTTTATATAAAGTTTTTATGTACCATATAACTCATCAATATTACAAGGATCAAAGTTATTCATTATAGCTTTCAAGTGAATAATGCAAGTAATCATTTGTCTTCTATAATCATGCATTGATTTGAAACAATTTATTTAAAAGGTCTATGTTTAAATTAATTTTCAATTCATTAAATTAATACTAAATTTGAGGCAATTTTCTACCTTGTGCTTTTCATGGGATAAAACTTGCAAGTCTAATATGAATCATGATTTTCAAGAAGTATCATGAAATCAGGCATATTTATTCCTTGGGTTGAAGGCATACCAACTTTACTTAAGTCATTTCTTTAATGCTAATCCAACCATTTCCCATCCATTTCCTTGCCCCACAAACCCTCTGAAAAATAAAAACTTCTTTCCATTATTTCTTTGCATTCCTTGGACTTTGTTTTGTTTACATTGTCACCATCCTTATTCCCACAAACCTCCACCACTTCCCAACAGTCTACCCACTACTTATGGCTTTCTTCACACCAAAATCACTGCCAACCATCCCATTTCCAACCCACAAATATTTCAGCTTCATCTATTCTTTATTTTCACTTTATTTTATGTATCATTTTCCATGTCCCTATATATGCAATAACCCCACCTTAAATCTTTAAGTGCTCTAGCTTGCTTTCATTGTTAGTACTAAAACCTAATGGCTTCACCAAAAGCAAAAGGCATTTCTTTATTTATTCTATTAAATTCTAAACATAATTGGGAATTTAATATAAATTTTTTGCAATTTATTAAAAAAAAAACTCTTTTGTGAGAGATGAAAAGTAAGGAATATTAAGTGCCTATCAAAATGATTACAACATCAATATAATATGCAATATATAGCATATTATTATGATATTATTCATGGGTATCTTACGAACTAACAAATGAGGGGATGGAGGATAAGTGATCTACATTTGTTTTTAATATCAAGTTTGAGGATTGACACCTAAATCAAGCTAATTGGATTACCTCATAGGTTTGCCACTCATTTAATTGGTTGACGAGCTTAACATTGCTAAAAAGTAAGGAGAGAGTGAATAAATTTCATTCTAAGCAAATCCAATTGTAACTCACCAAAAAAAAAAGGTGAGAGAGTTGTGGTGGGATACCTAATTCTATTCTTTTTAATAATAGTTACCTCTCGATGTATGCTTATCCATAGAATTCTTGCAATATATATGGAATTGGTAAATTTGAAAATTAAAAATGGTAAAAAACATTAACTTTTGTAAAAAAAATATGGCACATAACATTTTTACGGAAACAAAACTTGAAACAATAACAATTTATGATGGTTCAAATCAATTATATATAGAATTTAAAGCTTAATTAAGTTGATTTATATAATTATATTTAAAACATAACATTCAACAAATCTAATATTCAAATTTCAACACCTATATCCTTTTTCTATATTCTCAAGCTGTTGCTTTCTTTATATATTAAAAAATCAACTATATATCAAACTCTACCACTTGTGGTTGTTATCAATATAAATTCAAACAATAACCCCTTTTCTTGGAGAGGAAAATGGCAAGAGAAGATGGATTCGAATTAAAATACGAGAAATGAAGAAAATAAAGAAGCAAGAGGGATAGATAGAAAAAAAAAATGATGATAATGTCAGTAAGGAAGGAGGTGGTGGATGGTGCTAAAATTTATGAGAGTCTTTGAAATTAAGTTCATTGGCATGCATCTCTTCTTTCAAGTGTTAATGTCAGTCACAAGAAAAGGAATAGCAGCCTAAGGGGG